CGCCGTGGCACTGGCTGTCCTTCCTGGGGCTTTGTGGGGTAGGAAGGGCACTTTCTGCAGCAGGGCGGTGAAGCAGGGACCAGGAGCTGGGAAAAGGGCCTCACCATTGCCACGGCCCTCAGAGGATGGGACGGAAGTATCATCATCACTATAATCATTGCATCATTATAAACTCACCATGTATGAATATTTGGTGTGTGTCAACCTCCTGTTGTATTCTTACTGATGCTAAGTTGTCCCTTGGGCCAGTGGAGCCTCTTCAAGTCAACTTCCGTGCTCTTTTACCTGCTAGGTCCATCCATACTATCGCAGATGGTAAGATATACTTTTTTATTGCCGAGTAACATTTCATTGTATATAGGGACCAGTTTTCTTTATCCACTTACCTATTGATGGGCACTTGGGTTGCTTCCATATCTTGGCTACTGTAAATAATGCTGCAATGGCACTTTTTTTTCATTTTTTATTTTAAGAGTTGTACTTGTTTTTGTTTCTTGGTTGATTGGTTTAAGATTAGTGCTTTTCTGCTGCTATTTCCTTTTATATGGTAAGGTTTTAACTACAATTTTGAGATGTTTGAGATGAACCTGAGGTGCATATGTTTTTTTGAATTAGTGTTTTGGGTTCTTCAGATACATATCCAGAAGTGAAATTGCTGGGTCATTTTTAAAAATTTTTTTAGGGCTGTCCATAATGTTTTCCATAATGGATGCACCAATCTTCATTCTCACCAACAGTGCACGAGGGTTACCTTTTCTCCACATCCTCAGGAACACTAGTTGTTTGTTGAGAGTTCTTTTGACATGACCTTGATGATCTTCAATGGCTTCCCTGCTCTCTGGGTAGACCAGCTGTTCCAGGCTCACCTTGTGCATTTCCTGTCCTGGCCTGGAACCACTGTTTCTCCAAGTAGCTTTGGCTCCTTCTAGTGAGAAGGCACATCTAAAGGTGCTCACTGCCACCTCCTGGGTTATTTTTTGCAGGCATCCTCAGTGGAGAGAGTTAATGCGTGTTTGTATTAGTGTTGGTAAGTATGGCAGCCATATTCTAAGGTTACCTTCCTAATGCCTGCCCTCTTATTTGCAGGCCTGTAACACTGTCCTTTGGCTGGCTTTAAGGAAGTGCATGGCCACATTGGTGGCTTCCAACAGACACTTGAACTTGAAAAGGGATCATTTCCCAGAACAGCCCTCAAATGCACCTGGATTGCAGTGTGGTGAGGCGTGAAGCAGAGAACCCGGCTCAGCTGTGCCCAGATCGTGACCAACAGTTATTGTGAGCTAACAGATGTGTGCTGTTTTAAGCTGCTAACTTTGTGGTCTTTTGTTATGCAGCAATTGATAACTCATCCAATAACAATACACTTCATTGGATTTTCCTTTCAATGCAAAAGAGATCCATGATGGAAGCAACAAGACAAGTACCCTGAGAGCAGGGCCTGCCTGGAAGTTCACACAGCAACGTGTCTGTGCCAAGATGTTCTCTCTGAAGTGAAATTTAACCGTTGAATCAACTGTGTGGCCTCTAGCTATGTCCCACGAGCTAAAAAAAAAAAAAAAAGAGAGAGAGAGAGAGAGATGGCAGGAAGGAGAAGCTCAGAAGAGACTCCCTGCCACCTAAGTTGCACCTGCCTCCTTTCACCCCAAGAGGAGGCGAGGAAGAGCTCCCAGGTGACCCAGGCTGGGGATGAGGGGACCCAAACCCCCTCTCACCACCAAGGTCTATAATTCTGTTAACTGCTCGAATAGACAGACAGCACTTCCTGCTCACCCAGCCAGAGACAGGAGGCTCCCAGCTATGTGGGTTGGGCTTTAGAGGTCCTGGCTCTGGAAGTTCTGGCAAAACCACAGTCAATGGTTTCTCAACCAGCAGAGGGATGGGTCTGAGAGGGTGCTTACATCCACTGGGGAAGAAGAGCGTGCACACTCTCTGACCTCACTCAGCCACAGGCTTCCCTCACCCACCTTGTGTCCCTCCAGCATCCATTCACACCCTGGAGACTAGGAATCTCATGTAGGAGCCCTGCTGTAAGACCAGTTAGTGGGCCAAGTCATGTTCTCCACATGGTGGGATGACAACTGGCCAAAGCCAGCAGTGGGCATAGCATGGAGGCCAGGAGGACATTGAGCATATCCACAAGAAAGGAGGACAGGAGGGGCAACAGAAAGGGTTCAGTCAGTGCCTCCTAAACCTTAGAGGCCAAAAGTTCTCCCAGAGAGCTTGTGAGCAGATTCCTGGGCCCCGCTCACAGAGTCTGGTTCATAAGATGTGGCGAGGCCTGAGAATCTGCATTTTCAGGAAATGCTGGCTCCACTTCCAGTAGAAAGGGGTTAAAGGATGGATGAGGAATGAATGAATGAATGAGACTCAGTACTGAGCCCATCACCTCCGCAGCACTTTAGGCATGCCTTGGATAGAATAGAAATAGTGCATATAGCATACATACACACAATCACACACCTGCACATGTGTGCACACACATGCTCACGTGCAGAGGTACACATATAATGCTTTTCAACCAGATTCCCAGGAATACACAGACACATGAACATACAACATGCAAGCAAAGAGACACAGATACACAAATATACACTTACATACATAGACATCCATATAGACAGAGATACATGTGCACAAATGTATCAGTCAGGATTCTCAGAGAAACAGAGCCAATTGGGTATGTGTGGGTGTGTTAAGAGATTTACTATAAGGAACTGCCTCCCACAACTGTGGAGGCTAAAAGGTCTGACCAGGAAAGCCAATAGCATGGTCCCAGCTGGAGTCCCAAGGCCTGAGAACTGGAGCCAGTTCCATCTGAGTCTGACAGCAGAAGACGATGTCCTGGCTTGAAGACGTCAGACGGAGAAGTCTTTCTTAGTTGACCTTTAATTCGACTCAGGCCTTCAGCTGACTGGGTGAATCCCCCCACAATGGAAGGGCAATCGCTTTACTCATCGCAGGGTTTCAAATGTCACCTCCTCCAGGAACATGCTGCAGACACACCCAGAATCACATTTAACCAAACATCTGAGCACCTCGTGGCCCAGTCCAGCTGACATATGGAATTGACCATACAACATGCCTAGACAAATATACACCTGTGTACATAAGCACATACACACTCATTTGTACACACTCAGGAAAACACACACATTCACTTTCAAACCATATCAAGAGACTGAAACTAAGATAGACTCCTGACACACAGGCATACACACAGAGACACAAACAGACACACACATCTACATATATGACACTATACACACACACACACACACACTTTCCCTGGAGGACCCTCTAACCATGCTGTGTGACATCTGCTCCTTCCTGCCATGCATTCTGTGATGGAATGAGGGCCTCCCTGTACTGTTGTTTCCCCACCAGCGTGAGAGGGGCAGGGCTAGAGACGTGGAGGGCTGTTCCCCACATTCACAGACCAAAGAGCCACAGCCGGGGAAGACAGTGGCCAAGGAAAGTCCCAAACCGCCCTGAGCCTTGCCCAATGCTCAGAAAGCAAAAACAGCCCACAGCACCAACAGCGAGCCCTACGGCCAAACTGCCACCGAGTTGGGCAAACACCAGTTGTGTGCACTTTCCTCTCCTCCAGCCCAGTCCCCGGCTGGAACGAATCCCAGACATGGCACATGTGATCAGGGCACAGAGCTTGGCAAGGAGTCCTCATGCATAGCTGCTGACAGCCGGAGGGTGAGCGGCCAGCACTGGCAGAGCAGGCCCAGCAGAGCACACGGCTGCCTCAGCCGCCATGGATTACCAAATGTCACCACGCACCACATACTGTGCTAACCACACTTTGCTGATAACAGTCCTCAGGGCAGCCGAAACCTAGGGGACTCCAACACGTTACACAGCTTACCCGAGTCGCACAAACCCAGATCCCTGCCTGGAATCCAACAGAACCCATCTGGATCCATCAGGGGCAGATCTTCCCCTAGATCAGTGGTCGGCAAACTCATTAGTCAACAGAGCCAAATGTCAACAGGACAATGATTGAAATTTTTTTTTTTTTTTGAGAGCCAAATTTTTTAAACTTAAACTTCTTCTAATACCACTTCTTCAAAATAGACTCTCCCAGACTGTGGTATTTTGTGAAAGAGCCACACTCAAGGGGCCAAAGAGCCACATGTGGCTCGTGATCCGCAGTTTGCTAACCTCGGCCCTAGATAGTGTTAATATGAAAGTTCTGGTTCAGACAGTCTGCCCGTCCAACCACCCCCTTCCCCGGGGAATGTGTTATACGCACTGTCCAGGTGGCGCTGGGAGCACTGAGGCTCAGGCACCTCCTGCATTGCCCATGAACTGCCCATACAGCTGGCACCATCCAGGCCCCGAACATTAGCACTGACAAAGCACTACATCCTCACCACAACCCATCAGAGGGAGCTGAAGCATTGGGGCTGCCCCACCCCTAATGGGGCACCTGGTTTAACATTCGAAGCTGGATTAAAACAAACTCGGGCTGTTGGCTCCAGAGCCTCAGTCCTAACTGCCGAGCTGGCAGGTAATCGGGCACCCTGCCAGGGCTAGAACCTGGGGGCCACCCTGTTCTGTCTCCTCCTTCGCCAGCTCTGAGCCGAAGCCAGGCCGTGACCAGCAAACCCTGCTCCTCTCCCACTTCCAGCACAGACGTCACCAGAGGCAGCCTGCGCCTCACCAAATCCATCCCCTGACACTGCCCTCAACAGCTGCTTCCCACACGCAGGCCTGCCCACTTCCGGGCAGGGGCTGTCCACTCAGCCAGCAGGCAGGCAGTCTGCAGAGGCCGCTCAGAACCTCAGAAAAGGGCAGGTTTGCAGAAGGAAATCCAAGTGATTCTGCCTCTGGAAAATCCCTGCTAATTTTTTTAAGGCCATGTCTCTTCTGGGTGCTTTGAGGGTAGAAGATAGAGGTGGCTTGTTCACAGGTCTTATTCTCTTCCTCCTCCCCTTGTAAAAAAGAATCATCGCACCCTGGAAACTTGAATAAAGGAAGTGGTTGACAGTGCAGCCGATAGATGGGGAGATGAAGAGCTTCTGGTCAAATGATTTAGCAAGAAACTACCGCCCCTGCCAGTAACAAGGCAGGCAGCCCCTCTGGGCGGGGCAGTTTGCAGGGCCCCCCACCATGCGCCCCAGCACCGCCCCTGGGGCCCACAGCCAGCACTGCCTTCCCCGAAGCTATGCAGCTGGCCTGCGCGCTGCTTGCCTTGGGCAGCCTGGTCTTAAGCGCCACGGGGGACCTGACCCCAGGTAAGCGGAGGGTGTCCCCTGGCTCCTGCCTCTCTAGGACACGATGCCCAGGCTGCGGTAGGGGCCAGGTGCCATACCCTCCTCCTCCCATGCCCAGGCCCCGAAGCACAGTCTTGGGTGGGCAGCCCCAGCAGAGGTGTGGCTGCCAGGCTTAGGGCCCCAGGACTGGCAGCAGCTGCCTTCCAGGGGCCCCAGGGGTCCGGGAATGGGGTTTGAGTGCCGTCTGGAGATGAGGGAAGACTTCTGTTCTCGGCTGCTCCCTGATCCGGGGGAGGATCCCCATGCCCCCCTATGGGGACAGAGGAATGGGGGTGGGCAAGCAGTTTCTGTCTGATGCCAGCCATGCTTGCCTGCTGGCTGCTGCCTTGTGACTCGGCTCTAAGGACCTGGTGATCAGACACTGTCACCCTTCCTGCCCGGCCAGGGCTGTGGGGAGGGGAGGAAAAGAGGGGTAGCCTTGGCTCCTGGAAACTGAGGCACAGCTGGGGTTGGCAACTTGTCCCCAGTTCACATGACCAGTGACCCCCCCCCCCAGCCTACACACACACACACACACACACACACACACACACACACACACACACAGATGGAGGTGTCTTCCCAGCACCAGAAGCATAGGCCCTGGGTGATGGTGACGGCCTGGAGGGCCCCTTTCTCACCTCCTTGAATCTCTGAGGAAGCTGGTGCTGGAGGCCGGGATGACCTGCTCGGGTCACAGCCGCGGCGTGGGGGGCAGGGGCGATGCCCAGGCGGAGGCTGGTTCCTGCCCTCCGCGTTCTTCGGGGGGGCTGGAGCCAGCCAAGGAGACCAGGTGGAGGGTGTTCAGGCAGGACGGTACATGGGGCCAGCCCCAGCACCGCTCAGTCCGTGGAGGGGTCACCCTGCTCCTGGTGGCTCTGTCTCAGGGGCTATGGGAACAGGTTCCTCTGCCTTCCCCCTGGTCCCAGAACTTCATTCTTAATTCACACAGTGAAGCCCTCTGCACTCCACTGCTTTCCAGCCTGTCCTGATGGGGTGCCACTGTCTTCCTGTGCCCCGCTAGTGCCATAAGAGGGGGCAGGCCAGGGGGAGAATCCTTAGCCGACTCTTAGCACCCTTTCACCAGAGCTGCCCCCCTTAGTCTCAGAGTCATCTTGGCATTGCCCATAGCAGCTGCCAAAATATACTTCTTGAATGAGGAAAAGGAGAGCATGGTCTCTAGAACTAAGTGTGCCCTGCACTCCTCTAAGCCTCGGTTTCCTCACCTGTAGAATGGGCACCCAAGCTCGGCCCCTGAAGAGGTGTGAGAAGGGGTTACCCTGCTCACCCCCCCCCCTTCCACTAACTTCAGCTCCCCCGCACAAGGCACAGGTCCCACACAGTGCAGAGGACAGCAGGCAGGCGGGCTGACTCCAGGTTGGGGTCCAGGGACCTGTTTGTTTTCTTCCCCGAAGGGGAGTCACCTCTTTGGGATCTTTTCCTTCATGATCGGCCCCTCCCTGTTAATTTCTCTTGCATTATCCTAGAGCTGGTGTGACTTTTCAACTTTTTGTAAAATTAAAAATGGAGCTTTTATTGTTTGTTCAGACCCCTGACATTTTAGGAAACATGTTAACTAAAAAGAAAGTCACTTCAATATTTTTCATAACTTCTTTGTAACTTTGCCAAAATCCCTTAGAAACTAGCATTACATATTCGTCTGAGGTTCAGCCTCACCTGATTTCATTTCATTGTTTGAATGCTGCTAAATTCAAGCAAAATTAAAGGTAATACATTTTATTTAAAAAGGTTAACGGTGGTTACCTTGGAGAGACTGAGGTACGTATACTATTTTTGTTAAACTGCCTGTATTTTTCAAATTTCCTACCCAAAATAAGTAAGCTTACAATCAGAACAGGCAATGCCTGTCTGAATCCACGGTGGGGGGTGAGGGACCACGTAGTAACTGGAAATTGCTGTGTACACAGACTTCAGAGGTGAGCAGAAGCCAAGCTCTTCCCCCAAAAGGTTCTTGTTAAAACGGAGAGTCAGCAGCCCAGCCCCAGGCGGAGCGTCCCCACCTTGTTGGCATCAGGGGGCGTGGCCATAGGAGCCACGTGGGGAGCGGGGAAAGGAAAGTTGCCTGAGCAGCCCAGCTCCTGGAGCTCTAGGGACAGAAGCAGTTCTCATGCTTCAGGCTTCAGCCGCTCCAGTGAGGGCTTCCGCTTCTGTGAGGAAGTCATTGAATCTCAGGGACGCTGTGTGGAACTTTTGGGGGAGCTCTCGGCAGCAGAATCTCTAAGCCGGGAGCTTGTGGGGTCTGCGCTGCTGCTGCCCTCACACCGCCTCTCCACTTCCTGTTGCTGCTGCTGCCCTCACACCGCCTCTCCACCCCTGCCGCTGCTAACCCTGCCTACCTCTGCAGCACCCAAGGCCCTGCCGCCCAGATGGCAGTCACCACCACGTGTGGCTACAGAGCCCCTGACACCAGTTGTGGCACCAACAAGCTGAACCTGGCACCATTTAATTTAGCGAATGAAATAAAATTGCTGCCTTCATTGCCAGCCTGTGGGACAGCTCCGCTTGGACCATGCTAGTTTTTCAGGAACATCTGGGGAAAGTCTTAGTATAGAGAAGCAGTTCACAGACCTAAAAGCCCTCTTCCCACACTCCCTCCCCCCGATCTTTTTAGATTTTCCCCTGAAACTTTTAACTTTTTAATATACAAGTAGCACATGACCATTGTAGTAAAAATGACAAATTCAACAGGAGCCACCAACCACAAAAGGCCATGTTCATGAAGACCATGTTGCAATTCGTGCAATTCACACATGCTCTGGGTTTTTTACATCCCTATGATTTTCTTAATAAAAACCAGTGTTCATAACCTGGATGAGCACACACCCACCCCAGGCCAGCCTGGCCTCTGAGCGCTTCTCCCCACCCGCTCCTCGCTTCAGAGTGAGCCCTCTACCCCATGGCCCCCTCTCAGGCCCTCCATCCCGGTCCATGTGAATGGCTCAGCCCCACCTGCTCCCTGCGGACAAATCCCTGCACAGCTCCTGCCTTTCCTCACTCACTGCGATAATGGTTCTCCTGCCTGTTTATTTGCGGAAGATGAGCTCCAGCGAACATTAGCTTCTGCGCCCGCTGCCCAGGCAGGATGAGGAGGGCTCAGCCCGTGGGGACGGAACAAAGGAGTGAAGTCAGGTTCTTCCTCGGAGAGGAGCTCGGGTCTGCCTGGGCCTGCTGCTGGGGGAGCTTGGAGGGAGGATGTGGGGTGCCGAGGAGGGTGCCGGGGTCCCTGGTTCTGCCTGGCTGTCAGAGGCTGGGATGTGGTGGTAGGGGAAGCCCCTCAGGTTGCTTTCCCCATTTTTTATCCAAACACGGGCCTCCTCGGGACAGGAAGTCCAGGCCTCGCCCTCCACCATGTGCCGGTTCCATAAAGGAGCCATGTGCGATGAAGTCACCCAGGCCTGGCCCTGTCCTCAGACGGAAAGAGACGGCACAGGGAGGAGCACCAGGCGCTCTGGTGCTGCCTAGGGAACCGGGCCCCTAGGAGAGAGGCCTGGAAGCTGGGGAGATGCTGACAAGCGCCCCCGAGGTGGAAGAGAGCAGCAGCCTCCTTGTCAGTGAGAAGGCAGGACCAGCCTGGGGCACTTCCTTGTTGGTGACAAGCTGGGGAGTCGGGGGCCAGAAGTGGGCCTTGAAGGACAGCTGGAGTGACTTCTCCTGACACCCTGAGGCTACTTCCTGTCCCGAGGCTCTGCCACCTCCAGACGTGTCAGGTTTTCTTTAACTCTCATTGGGAATACCCCTGGGTTCTGAAGGAGGCTGTGTGGGCAGGTACAGGAACTGGATCCAAGCCATCATTGTAACACCCACCTCGCCTGGTCCTCAGCTTTCAGTAAGGGCAGCCATGGGGATTCACAAGAATTGCACTGTGGGGTGAGGGCTGGACCGGCCAGGGAGGGTGGACAGGAGAGCAGAGGGTAGGTGGAGAAGGGAGGAGGGATCGGTGAGGGGAAGGCAGATGAGTGACGAACTACACGAGCTGGGGACCACACTGGGAGCAGAGAGAACTGAGCGCCAAGGTGTGAAGCATGACCCTGGGCCAAGAGCCGCATTAACAACAATGTTCTTATCTGGTTCTGTGTTTCTCTTTCAGATGTTTGTTCCCAGATCTTTCACTCCGGTGTGTACCCAGGATTTCCCAGAACAATCAAGACCAACGACCCAGGGGTCCTCAAAGCAGCCAGATACAGCATTGAAAGGTTCAACAACTGCACGAATGACATCTTCTTGTTCAAGGAGTCCCATATCCGCATAGCCCTGGTCCAGGTGAGAGTCTAGTGGCCAGCATCTCCGGCGCCAGGCTGCAGAGGCTCCCACCCCACAGGGGCCCACCGACTAGCACCTTGGCCATCTAGAACGCAAAACAGGCCAGGATGCTGGCGGTGGCAGCCACAGAGAGCCTGCAGCCAGGCCGCCAGTGCCACCAGATTTGAACAAAATGTCCGTGACTGTCTCTTACAGAAACCAACTTCTTCTGGGTGGGGCCACTGGGAGTAGGCCAGAGGTGGGCTGGGGTGGAAAGGGACTAGACGTGGGCCTGCTGATGGCTTTGGGTGGGGAGAAACCAGAAGCTGGGCAACAGGAACCAAACTGGTGAAGATGCTGCCCCTTGGAGGGGCCTACTGCACCACCTGCCACAGTTGCCCCTGCCTAGGGCCCACCCCTGCCTCACCCCCTCACCAGAGCCACAGCCCCATAGGACCTTTCGATATTCTCTACCTGGGACTTATTTTACATAAGAGCACCCCTCCCCACACACAAACCCCTCCTCCACCAGCCTTGCCTCAATGTCACGCCCTGTGAAGTCGTCACGGGATGACTCGGCGATCTTTCACCTAGAGGGGACTCTACAGGGCAGAGCCAGGCCTTGGTCATCTGTGTCCTGAGACCACAGGGTCAGCTTGGGATAAGGGTGCATAATAGTGATGAGCCACAATGATGACGGGGCTGCCCGGCAGTCTCCGCCTTTACTAAGACCAGGGATAGTGTACAGCCTCTCAAAAGGAAGATCCCGGATGTGGGAAGCCGGCTTTGGACAAAACCCACACATTCTCCTGGGTGTGGGTGCAGGAAGGAGGAAAGACGCTGCCACTGTGTGCATACCATTAATGGCTGGTAACCTTTGGGTCACAGAATTATAGGTGATTTTTACAACAGTGTTCATTCTTTTGGGCAATTGCAAACTTTTTAAAAGTAGTGTATTTTTAAAAGAATTTTAAAATTGATTTCCAGAGAGAGAGGAAGGGCGAGGGAGAAAGAGAGAAACATCAATGCAAGAGCGAAGCATCAATCAGTTGCCTCCTGTACACACCCTTCCAGGAATCGAGCCCGCAACCCCAGGCATGTGCTCTGACTGAAAATGGAACCGGCAACCTTTCGGTGCCTGGGAGAACGCCCAACCAACTGCGCCACGCTGGCCAGGGCGAGCAGTGCATTTTTATGCTTAAAAAGTATTTTCCAGAAGGCAGTCTGATGTGGGAAGGGTTTTTAATAAGATTTCCATGAAAACAGCCCGAGTGGCATCACTCCAAGGACACAGCTCCAGGACCACTGCAAGTACAAGATGCCCAGAGCCGAGTGCCCAAGAGCCCCTGGGGGATGGGGTGCACTATCCCTCCCTCCGTGACGCTGAGAACTGGGTTTCACTTGGTACGTGGTGGTGGGGCAAGACCAGGTTGTTGCCACATGCAAGTGAAGAAATGCTGTAACTGAAAATAAAGTGCCCACCCTGATGCCCGGAATGGTGAGGAGCCAGCAGACACACTGCTTTTCCTCACCCCATGCAGAGGCCACACAGGGCAGGTGATTGTGGGTGACCGAGGCCTGGGAGAGGGGCCAGAGCAGGACTTCACCACTGCCCTGAGGCCAGGACGCCTCACGGTAACCCGCCTCTGCCCCCTCCTGATGGCTGATGGAGAGACCTGGGCAGGAATATGTCCTAAGACAGGACACAGAGCCCCGTTTGGCCCCTGAACCAAGAGCTAAGTCCCCAAGCAGGAATGAGAAGAGTGAATGAAGGAGAGAACCGGGAGGGCCTGAGATCCAATCACAGGCTTTCTCCCCATAGCGGCTCCTGTATGTCCACATTCCCTCTCCACCACTCACTCTCTCTCCAGAGGGCAGGGGACAGTCCCATCAGGGCACCCTCACACCCGTCTTAAAGCCATCTCCTGCTGGGTCCAACCCAGTAACCAGGCCCTGCCCTCTGCTCTCTTTAGATAGTGAAAGGCCTGAAGTACATGCTGGACATGGAAATTGGCAGAACTACCTGCAAGAAAACCAAGCACCCCATTCTGGACAACTGTGACTTCCAGACCAACCACACCTTGAAGATGGTAAGCAAAGGGGCCTCACTCCTCAGACCCCTCACCACTTTCCTAGCCCCACCTCTCTCCAGGGCCCTGGGAAACACTCCTTTATCCTCCCTCTACCCCCACACACCCAAATTTCACTCTTGAGTCCAGGTCTTCAGCATCCAACAGGATCCTGCAGACACGGCAGACATAGAGGGGAGACCCCCTCCTTAGAGGCATATCCACATTGGGGGCAGGTTAGAGCAAAAAAAGACCTTTTGAATAATTCAGAAATGTGTATACACAAGCAGAGGGAAACCAAATGCAGCAACATTTAAGAATTTGTAACTATAGGCAAAAGCATATATATTTTTTTAATATATTTTATTGATTTTTTACAGAGAGGAAGAGAGGGATAAAGTGTTAGAAACATCCATGAGAGAGAATCATCCATCAGCTGCCTCTTGCACACCCCCTACTGGGGATGTGCCCGCAACCAAGGTACATGCCCTTGACCAGAATCGAACCTGGGACCTTTCAGTCCGCAGGCCTACACTCTATCCCCTGAGCCATACCGGTTTCGTCAAAAGCATATATTCTTGAATTATTCTTTCAGTGTCTGTAGATTTGACATTTTTTTTCACAAGGACCCTCAGGGCAAGGAGAGAACTCTTCAGTAAGGAAAACTCGTATGCGTTCACACACATGTGCGACCGCACGCACACACACACACGTGCATGCACACACAGGCAGCAGCACTAGACACTGCAGAGCTGAGTGGCAGCCTCGGCGAGGCGGGTGGCCCCTGCGGCAGGCAGCACGGTTCTCAGGGTGCCCTTCTTTGTTTCAGACTCTCAGTTGCTACTCTGAAGTCTGGGTCATCCCCTGGCTCCACAGGTTCGAGGTGCCCGTTCTCCACTGTCACTGACTGCCTCTCAGCAATCCTACGGCTACTGTCACTTTCGAAGTAGTGTCTCCCGGCAAGCAGAATGGTAGTGTCCACGGTTCATTACAGAGTAACTGGGATGGAAGAGTGACCACCACACAGTTAAAATACACACTTGGAATTCTCTTCTGAGCTGATGGTACTGGTGCTGTGTGCCTGGATTCAGAGTGTGAACACGCGGGACTGAATCCTCCAATGGAAATGTGTTGGGTTCTCAACTCCTGAAGGAGCCCCTCCCACCCAGGCCCTGGGTCCCCGATGCCAACCCGGGATCTTTCCTTCCGTCTGAATGCTTGCAGCATTGGACGAAGGGATTCAGCTGCTATTGAGCATTTTGGCCTTTCATGGATGAAATTATAAATAAACATGAATAAGAACTGACCATCTCAAAGTGGCTGCTGCGTTACCTGCTCCAGGGATCTCAGGAAGTGAGGTGGGCGGTAAGGGACCCCCTCATGGAGGGCCTGACCAGTCCAGGTGACTTCCACAAAGCGCCAGGGCTTTCCAGCCTTTAGGCCACGAACACAACATCCTAGAGACCAGAGAGCAGAAAACAGGCCAGCCTGTGTCCATCCCATGAACTGGCAGGGGAGGGGCCCCCCACAGAGGGCGTCCACCTGCCAGCTGGGCTTCCTTCTGACGGGGGATGCCCGCTCAATCCCCTCAGCTGCCTTCGAGACAGCAAACGCACAGCTGTGTCTAGACAAGTGGGTATGATAGGATGCTGAGTTAACATCCCACACATCCCCACCCGGGAAGAGCATCCCACACAGATTCACCTAAGAGAGGGTGCACCCTCAACCCTACTGACCCTCCCAGGAGAGAGAGCACCCCACACACAGACACATTCACCCCCACCCCCCCCAAGAGGGAGTATACCCACATACAGACTCACCCAGGAGAGGGAGCACCTCACACACACAGACTCCCCTAGGAGAGGGAAGACAAGGTAAGGGTGGACATGCTGCACTGGGGGCACAGGAGGAGACCACCCAGGGTCCGTGTAAGGCAGGCCTCACGCTTGCCCTGGAAGGGTGTGAGACTGGACCACAGAGCAGAAGCCTGGGAGATGCCGAAGGCTGAGAACCCCGAGGCCTCACCCAGAGATGTCCCAGACACCCCCTGCCAGAAAGCCTGGTGCAGATGCAGGCCCCGCTCTGGAGTTCTTCCTCCCGAGGCCCCCTTCAAACTATGGGCTGGTACAAAGTATGTTGTTGCCTTTTAAAACATACATGGACCTGATCATTCACAGGAAAAAGGAAATCCGCATTGGATCTGTATGGCAATTTAGCACATGTCATAAACTTGATCAATGTGAATAACCAAAATGGATGAACCACAGCTTCCTTCAGTGATGACAGAAAACTATAATTCCAAATCCTCAATGTTTTTTGCTGCCTTGATTCACCTCCTTCTGGTCATTTAATTCAGGGGCAGGAGTAGCAACTATGACACAAGACATTTAATTTATCCTATGATTCCAAAGGGCCCTGAAGGCAGTCCTTTCATAAAGATAAGCGAGTTCACTCGGTGCTGTTGACCCCCTACATAAACAAGATGGCAGGAGCACTAACCCCAGGAGTGTAAGCAGGCGGCTTCAGGACACGGCTCACGATGGCCTGTGTGGCTTATGCAAGATAATGCAGCAAATGAGGAGGACCCCAGATTCTGAGCTCTCAGTCAGTTCTCACTTACACGTAAGTACAGACCAGAGCTCATCAAGGTCAGGCCTGTCCTAAAATTACTCAGACCTCCAGACACCCCACGCCACTGGCCTTATAGGCAGGTCAGAAATGAGAATTCATACAAAGGAAGCTGTTGGGGAGGGCTGCCTCACAGCCTCACAGCACCCCTGCTAGGAGCTGTATTCCCCACCCCACCACGGCCCCTGCCCAGCCAGAAGGCTATGGGCTAACCTTCCCTCCTGGCAGGGAAGAGAAAGCCTCAAAACCCCATGTCAGAACTCTGAACCCTAACGTATACCCACAATTTTCACACCACCACTTGGGTCCAGGAATTTACTGCCTCCTATAAGTTGACAAAGTCTTAAAACTATGGCAAACCAGCCAAGACAGAAGCCAGTGGACTATGTACCCCAGCCTCAGGCTTCTGCAAACCCTCCCTCCCTGAAGTCCTCGGGCCCAAATTCCAGGTAGAAAGGGGCTCTACTTTATAATGCACCACAGTTCTACCACCCCAACCCCAATCTGTTTTATGCAGTGTCTCTCACAGAGGTAACTGCTTGTCTTCAAATAACTCTTAAGCCTTCCAGGGTGACACCAGAAGGAGAGGGACTGGGTGGCGAGCCAGGGTGAAGCTGCCTTGTAATTTGGAAATCCGCAGCTGGCGTACCTTTGTAGACATTTTGCCCCAGCTTCCTGGAGAGCAGGCACTGCTTGCACTGACCGTGTGGGCCCCACCCAATGTTCCCATCCTCCTAACTCTGGCCGCAGTGAGAGACTGTTCTCTCAGGAATCAGCACACCAAAGCCGCACCCGGGATGGAGCCGGGCGAGGCCTGGGTTCAAACAGAGGAAACCAAGCCCCACATAGACACAGTGTACCTGACCGCAGGTGGCAGATGTCACCCAGTGATGACCTCAAGTCCTGAACTGCAAACCCAACTCTATTTTTAAAAACTCATCAGTTTTACTCTGCCTCAGATGATGTTATCATGGAGAACATGCAAAGTTAAGTGCCCAGTATTCTAAGACATGAGAACTATGACCAAAAAGAAGCACTTTCTCAAAACCATCAAAATTCTGGCAGTCCTGCCTAAATGACTTAGCTTTCCCTGGCCACAGCCCTCCACCCTCCTCCCCAGGCACCCCCTGCTGCAGATTCACGCAGCCGGGGCCCTCCTGAGGTTGCAGGTAAACTCAGACTGTGATGAAAAGTCTCACCATTGCCCATGGTGACCACCTCTCAAAGTTTAGACCACAATAATGCCCAGCCCAGCTGGGGAGCTGGGCAGCCCAGGGAACTCTGATGTGTAGTCAAGATCTGACCCCCGGACTGGGTGGTGGCCACCGCAGAGCCAGGCCCTCACGCCACCCAGCCTCTCCCCCAGCTTCCCCAGCAGATTCCAGGCACAGAACAGATCCTGGCGCAGCTGTGCGCTGGCTGAGACTCTGGGCAAGTCATTTATGCACCAGCCTCGGCTCCTACTTGTAAAATGAGGTCGTATCTCCTTGCATCGTTAAAAGGTCTGAGTACATGAAAACACTTTCTAAACACATTCCGCAAGTGTATAGTCATAATAAAAATATCAAATGGGCCTTCTGTCCTATAAAAAGCAGTAATGAATCGTAATGGAGTTTTTATGATAGATAATAAAGAGGCACACAGTGAATGAACAACTTGATTTAATTTTAAAACCATGTTAGTAATTCACATTAGAGCAAATCCAAATTTTGTTTACAATAAAAGCTATCACACATTCAAACCTATTAAGGTTATATTTTGCACATCACCGTGTCAAACGACCAAATAAAATACAGGAAATGACACTTAAGAGACAAAAAATCAACATCTAAATCAAATCGAGACTCCTTTGATGAAAACTGTGAAAAGCAATTTACCAGCTTCTTTGTAACAGTAAAAATTAAGCACTAAAAGCAAAGCCCTTTCTTCTCAATCAAGAAGTCTACTTACACCTGCCTGGTGTGGCTCAGTGGTTGAGTGCCAACCCATGAACCAAGACTTCCCAGTTTGATTCCCAGTGGGAGGTATGCTGGAGACAGCTGATCAATGTGTCTCTCTTTGATGTTCCTCTCTCTATCCCTCCCCCTTCCTCTCTCTCTAAATTTAAAAAAAAAATTTTTAAAGAAGTCTACTTATTTAGGCCCCAAACATTTAAATTTATTTTTTGTGGCAGAATGATTGGGTTTTACCCTATTATTCTTATATACTTGCTATATGGGGTACAATATCTATTTAAAATATTTAATAATCACTACACAATTTTCTTTCCTATAAAGTTACATAAATAGTAAGTCATTCATCTGAGATGACATGGGTTGCACCAGCTAGTCTAAAGCCAGTTTTTGGCTTGGTTCTACAGTTGCTGCACAGAAGGCCAGCCGGAGGAGGGTGACATGAGATGAGTCCACCGCTAGGCTCCAGACTTCCTTCCCCCAAAATCAGGCTGGACTGAAGGCATGGCGTGGAGGTGGCTGCACTGGAAAAGGAAGGGGAGGGGTTGGAGGCCAGCCAGTGTGACAAGACACAAAGGTTCAGATTTTACCACAGCTCTCGATCTCCTTTGAATTGTATCATTACGTATTTAAAATACTGTCTAGTCAAGTTCTTAAAAACTATCCCAGAAGCCCTGTCCTTCAGGACATTTCTCCAGAAACAGATTTGTCGGTTGGAAAATAAGGAGCAGTGTACTATCAACTTACCCAAGAATAAAGGCCGATGCTGCCCCTAAGAGGTCCTGAGCAACCCAGAGGAACTGCTTGACCCTAAACAAGATCCAAGCCAACACAATCCTCACATCACACAGGATGGAGTCAGATTCCAGTCACTGATAATTATATTTAAAGTAGAGAAGAAACTCCTAGGTGACACCATCACAAATGGCTAATCAACATAAAACTTTATTTAATTATCGTCACTACAGAGGTCTCCTTGACAAAATATGACCAGTGTGTAGACATACAGCAACTTGTGGGCTTTTGACACTGAAGCAAATATGACATTAACACCTGTACTATTCACACCTGTGGGACTAGAGGTGAGGAACAAAGATGTAAATAGGTCTGCCCTAAACTCACCCGCTGCTGGGCCATTCATTTGTGTGGTAGGTTGTTCAGAGGCTGACCCAGGTATTCCTCGTGGAGCTTTTGAAAACAACATGTTTCTCCTATGCACTTACTTAGGTCCCTGCCTTTATATGATGGGAGTTTTTTTTAAACCCTGTTATGAGCCAGAGGCTAGGGGTGGAAGCAATGGGAGGAAAAGGCCAGTGGGGGGAGGGGGGGGCAGCGCAAGGGCGGGCCCCCCACAGCTCTGAGAAGCCGTGCTGAGGTCAGTGCTCGCACAGGCACTTTTTGCACTGAGCACTCCTTGCCCTTCCTTTGCTCCTCCCCATAAGCAGGCATTACCCTGTTTTATAATGAAGATACTGAGGCTGGCAGGACAGAGCCAGTAGCTAAAACAAGTGCCTGGACAACTCATCTACTGCTCTAGCCATCAAAACCCTGAGGTCTGCTAAAAGTGCATGATGCCCCCCAAGTCCTAGAGAATTGCTGTACTTAGAATTCTTTTAGAGAAAATGGCTCTACGTGAACTTACCTTCCAATGGCATATGCTATGCTTCCCTCTAAGTCAAACCCAGGTGAGTCTGTCCTACATACATCCCCAGGGTCACACCACACTTCCAAGGAACAGTGCTACAGGTGAAAAGGGCTGTGTCCATGGTGCCTCCTGGACCAGGCGGTGCCATGTGCCAACTCCTGACACAGCCACGATCAGGGCTGCCCTCGGGTGGCTAAAGAGACTGAAGGCTGAGTCTGCAGATGAAGGGGGACCGGAAGGAGCCCAGGTAGAGGTGCCCGTCATGCTCGTGCGCTTCGCTGATGTAGGTGGCCACCTGCCCGTCAGGATCGTGCAGGCTCCTCTTGAAGGCGCCACTGCTGCTGAGTTCCAGGGCGAGGCTATACCGCGGCACAAACTTCATCACCGTCTCCTGACTGAACAGCTGGAAGGGAAGCACAGTGTGGAACTGACCTACTGACTAAAAGAATGTGAGCAGATCCAACCTTTTAAAAACAAGACAACAGGCCCCCAATGGAATCGCTGATAGTAAGTGCATGTCACCAAACCAAGACTTAATTTATGTACAGTTTAGGCTCCCCCAGAAATGGAATCTTAAGCCAGTCAGTCAGGAATCAGTCCCCCAATGAGCAACAGTTAGGTCATCTGCCTGACCGCCCCTGCGCCCCCTCAGGAAAGTGACCTTGCAGCAACCAACATGATTTTTACTTGTGTGACATCCTTATTCCTGTTCCCTTCTACCTAGGAAAGTCTCATTTTGTACGGCTTCTTGGATCTGCTTTACATCTGTTAGAATGCATGCTGCCCAGAATCATTGAAAAAAGCCAATCAGCTCTTTAAAATTTATTCAGTTCAGTCAAGAAGCAGCCTGCGGGGCAAGTGAAGCAGGTGTGTGCAGAGGGTGGGAGAACTCCGGTGGCCTAGTCCAGAGAGTCAGTCTGAACAGGGTGAGGCAGAGTCCACACTGAGGGGAGGGAAAGGACAGTGATGCGGAGTAAGGTGTCAGAGCTTAAGCAGGATGAGGAGGGTGTTTACCTGGGGAGCTTGTGTGGTAGCAGAGCCCCTCGGGAGAAAGGGTGGCCCCATAACATGGCCACGAGGAGGGAGAAGGCCCAGGGTGGTGCTAGAGCCCTAGCAGAGACCATGTGACAGGGGACAATGGCTACAAATTGGTGACATTTGGGGAATGTGATCAAATGGGTATGAAAGATAGGGGGATCCAGGTTGTTCGCTAATGGAAAAAGGAAGTGCAAATAAGAAAGGGAGAAAACTAGAATAGATCCTGAGGTATTAAGCTAGAAGTAAGAAAGACCAGCATTACTTATGGTTTTCGATTTAAATAAACAGATGATAAGTAAATGTAGGTGTAAATGTGTATACATTGTATATATATGTGTAAACATGTATGACTACACATGCAAAATACATTTCCTGCTTTGTCCATGAGGGGGCCTGGGAGCAGTTATGTGCGCACTTAGCCCCAGATCTCTAGAAGGAACCAGCTCCTTGAGGAAGTGGTTGGTTCCAGAGCTGGGGTGGGGAAAGGGTGAGATGAGCCTGAACATGTGGAGCCAGGGGGTGAGAAACCACCCCAAGAATGACAGGTGCATGTCCAAAGGCAAGGAGCCACTCTGAAGGGCTCTCAGTGGCCACAGCTGGACAATCTTAAGTATCAAAGTAAATAATGATAGCCAGGCCGGTGGTGCTCAGTGGTTGAGTGCCAACCCATGAACCAGGATGGTTCGATTCCTGGTCAGGACACATGCGTGGCCACGAGCTCGATCCTCAGTAGGGGGCATGCAGGAGGCAACTGATCAATGATTCTCTCTCATCACTGACATTTCTCTCTCTCTCTCCCCCTTCCTCCCTCTGAAAAAACAAATAAATAATGATAGTAACAGATTATATAACCCACTGAGTAAAATAGGTAACCATGAGATAATACTGCTATTTACCTAGTTATAAATGCCACCCCACAATAAATAAATTAAATCATATTAATTAATTAATTAAAATTTTAAAAAGTGAAGGCCTCCCCACAAAATACGCGTTAATTACAAAGGGGAAAGGGTGGCTTCACAGGTGACGAACACGCACCACTAGCACGGGACATAGTGGCGTCATCCCCTCCTGCAGGACACACTGAAAACCCAGCTGCACTCTGTGGTCTCTGCCAGAGGCATACGCTGGCAACCGAAATAGAGAGGCACCTGAAATATAACTGACGGGTAACCTTCCAACAGGTCAAAACTGAGGAGCTGCTCCAGACCGCAGGAGACTAAGGAGGTGTGTTGGCTGGAGGTCATGTCTGATCCTGGGCTGATAACTAAAGGACATCCCTGGGGCAACCGGAGCAACCTGAATGGCTGCATGGTTGGACAGTGGCAGGTGTTCCTGTAAATTTCCTGTCTGGGCAGGTGGTCTTGAGGGAGAGAGTCCTTATTGTAGGAAATAGACTAAGTATCTGAAGGGCATCAGGCAACAACTTACTTGCAAACAGTTCTTGAAAAAAGTTCTTTGTACCTTTCTTGCTATTTTTCTATGTCTAATATTGTATCAAAAATCAAAAATCCCCAATGACTTTGATCCCACTTTGAATAAAATCTAGCCTCCTACAAGGCCAGGATTCTCACCCACTTCTCCCACCTGCTGTCCTTCTGTTCTGTCTCAGGTCACACACAGATGCTGAGCTCTGCTGCCCCAGGGACCCCAATCATGTTCTCCGTCACCAGGAACACATCCCACTGCTCCAGGTCTATCTCACACTATGGTCTTAGCTCTCTAGTCACTCATTTATTCCACAGAAACTTCTGAGTGCCCACTGTGTGCCAGACACTGTTCCTAGTGCTGAGGATAAAGGAGTAAACTAAACAGGAAAAGTACCTGCTCTGGTAAAGCACACATTCCATCAAGGGAGAGACAGCCACGCACCACCGAGGGGCCACATCCTGGCTGAAGAAAAGCTAAGGGGGCCGGAAACTGAGCACCTACTACACACAGCTAAGGGCATTGTGTGCATATTCGCATCATATGTTTTCAGCACGTAATGAAATGCTATTCTTCTTCTCACTTGACAGAGGAAGAAACTGAAGCAGAAAGACCACATCTGGTCAGCTGGTATGATCTTCAAAACTCCTCTTCTTGCCACCCTACCCTCTGCCTCCTCCTAGATTCCAGTGGAAACAGATGTTGGCTCTGAAGCCAACCATACATAGAGGAGGATGTGTTATTTCTGAACAGATCGGGATTTGCTACAATGACCACTAAGCGCAGAACAACACTGAAGGCCATGGAACGGCCTGACCGAGCAGGTGTATGCAGCCCCTCACTGGGGCCCAAACACAGGGCTTGGCACCACGTGGCCTCAGTAACTGCTGCCTGCCACCTTTCAGGACTTTAAGTTACAAATATTTTAACATCTATGCAAATATTCAATATCAATTTCAAATACTATTCAGTCTGTAAAAAGAAGCTTTTCAGAAAATAAGATTTCTCTATGAAGGAAGTGCCTGTATCAGCAAGTCCCCATTGTAAAATGTGTTTTTACATTCAGGGCATTTCGTGGAAGCCAATGGAAGAAAGGGCAGGATGACGAACATTTAAAGGCTGTGTTGAATGGTCTGCTGGCTGTTGGCAAGGGTGAATGATTTGTTTTAAATGGGGAAGAATCTGGTGTGCTAATATGTAAAAGGGCAAAATCCTACGGAGAGGGGTGACTGGCAGGAGATTCCAAGAAGGGAGGAGGGAGCAGGGCAGCATAGTTCCAAGGTGAGTGAGTGACAGGTATGGCCACGGGAAGAGGCACCTGGGAACCCTTAGAGGAGAAGCAGTGCCAGCTGCTGATGGGGAGGGGGAGGCTGGATCCAGGTTTGGAGGAGAAGGAAGCCTTAAGAAGCCATCTCAGAGTAGGAAGAGGGAGGGTGACAGGCAGGATAGAGACATCAAAAGGTCATGATGGTGACCTAGACCAGAAAATCAGAAGAAGAAAAAAAAAATCAAAGGGTCCAAATGGTAAGCTTCATGTCATGCTGCAGAATAAAAGGTGTTTTAAAGAAATCTCTGAAAGTACTAAATATTACAAGCAGAACTAGAATTTTAGAGCTATAAGTCAAACTAGGTCATAATGAAATGCATCTTCTAATTATAGTTTTGGATCTTAGAATTAGTTTTCAGTTACCTTAAAAATCATTCTTTTAATATAAGGCCTCTCGGATAAGAAATCCAACATTGAGAACCCAGGGTTGGCGCGAATGGTCGACATGCCGACCCAGTAACCCCCGGAGCTGCTGGGCCGGATGTTGTCTGGGAATCCAGGCAGGTTCTCCACGAACAGGTCGACCCCGCCCTTCGTCAGGCCAGACACGTAGACTCTGAAAAATTCACCCAAGCAGATATGAGCAGCAGTCCCCAATTTAAGAAAAAATTTTAGCCAACCACAAAATTAGTCTTGGTTCCAGTAAGTTTATGGAACCAACTATAATATGTCCATTATAAATAAAAGTGCAGCTGCTGAAAGAGGGACTCGAGCACTGGGCCCAGCTAGATGCAGTTAGGGGAAAGCTGGTGGGCCAAGACCCACTGACAGGGAAGGCACGTGGGATGTGCATCAGCACTAAACTAACTCTCCCAGACTGCGACACTCAAGTAGGCTGAGACATGGGGAAAAGAAAACACGCTCTTGAGTGTGAAGTTTGTCATTATTACACAAAGGAGAGGTGCCCTGGCAATTCTCAAATTTTCTCAATGGACAGACACCTCCACACCCACCCGGGCTCAAAACTCTCTGGTGAGCACGGACCATTCAGCAGATGCCACACGCACCTCCTTATCCTGGCCATGGTCGTCTCTGCCACCAGGACGAAGTCTTCTTCGGGAGAAAGCTGCACTCCGTTAGGGAACCGAAGATGGTCCAGTAACACCTTTACTTCTTTGGTCTCAGTATCGTACTCCAGCAGGCTGTGGGTGCCAACAGCAAAGGGTCACACCGGAGTCCACACGCCCCTGCTGGGCTGGAGCTCGGCTCACCTCTGGGCAGGGACCTGCGGAAAGGGACTCAGCCTCACACTGGAGTGACAAGGCCCTGGTGGTCCCCTGCTCAGACCTGGTCCCAGGCTGGCCCCTAGGAGCCCTTCCCCACCCACAGCGCCCCAGGCATCCTGTTCAGACATCCCCCCAGTCATTCTCCTATCTGAAATGCTGAAACACTGTGCTCAGAAACACTTCAAAGATTTCTAGAAGCAATCCACTCTGCTAAAGCTACCCTGCTTGACTGCTGATCTCACTGAGCAGATGTGAAATACACACTCACCGCCCATCATCCGTTGCCTCCATAATCAAAAGCAGAAAATCTCGTCTTTGCCATTTGCTGCTGGAATCCGTAAAATAAATCTTCTTCCCATCACGAGTTATTGTAAGGTCGTTCACAAAGGACATTTTCCGCCCCTCGATAGGTATGTCAGAGGACAGCAGCAATTTCACTTCACCTGAAGTAGTAAAGAAGAAAAGGAGAAAAGGAAAGAAAGGAAGAAAGGAAGGAAAGAAGAGAGTGACTTGCTTTCATTCTAAGAACTCATATCACAATAATTTTGAAATATTAATTAGCCTAATTTAAAAGAAAAACTAAAATGAACTTCCCCATGCCATATGTCAAAAGATGTATTCCTTCTTACAATAAAGTGTTTTTCTTTCTTTCATCAGTTAGCTGATGAATATTTTTAGACTACATTAAAGCAAAACCCTTCCTCTGAAGATGAGGAACTTTCTTTTATGGAGACCAACTGACTTAAAAGTTTATGTAAAAGGCAACATTCGATTTGTTTGTTTGAGAAAAATACAAAATGTTCTACTCGTTTGCTTTTAAATAAAAAAATAAGAGTAGTCCGGTGGTGGGGCTTGATGGATTGAATGTCATCCTATGCACCAAGAGGTCACCGGTTCAATTCCCGGTCAGGGCACATGCCCAGGTTGCGGGCTTGATCCCCAATAGGGGTGTGGAGGAGGCAGCTGATCAATATTTCTTTCTCACCAATGTTTCTCTCTCTCTTTCCCTCTCCCCACTTCTCTCTCTAAATCAATAAAATAAAATAAACTATTTTTTTTAAAAAGAAATAGGTTTTTAAAATAGTATAACATTTAATAAGTGTTAAACTCTTTCCATGTATATCATTTAAATCCTCACAACAATCCCACAAGGCAGGCTATTACATTATCCCTATCATGGATGAGGAAGTGTGCACAGAGAGAATTATACAGTTGCACAGCCAGCCAATGGCATGGCAGACCCATGCTGTTGGTCTGCAGTGCCTGAATCCAGGGCCCCACAAACCACCCACGATAACGAATTCCTCTATTGTACGTCCCTCCTCTGCCAAAGCAAATACAGCGAATGTAATACCACTGGTCAAGATGGCATCATGACCAGTCAGGGGAAAGGAACGGGAGGAAAAGCTAGAGAAAGAAAATGAAACGACATATCCTTACTCTTGTAAGGATAAAAGACTGAGAGGCAGAAAACAAACAGGAAAACAGACAGCATGGCTCAGTGGTTGAGGGTCGACTTATGAATCAGAAGGTCATGGTTTGATTCCCAGTCAAGGCTCAGGCCTAGGTTGCAGGTTTGATCCCCAGTGTGAGGCATGCAGGAGGCAGCCAATCAACGATTCTCTCTCATCATTGATATTTCTACCATTCTCTCCCTCTGCCTTCCTCTCCAAAATCAATAAAAATACGATTTTTTTTAAAAGAGAGACAGAAATATAAAGATGGATGGATGAAGTCTAATATCTGCAAAATAAGTCCTCTTGAGACCTGTGGCTAAAACACAAACACCAGAGGAAATTAGGGTACTGACTAAATACACACAAGTAAGGATTTGTGTGATTGTTTATACTAGCTGATATTTGTAAGGTGATGCTTGCAGTATTATTCAATGAGTAAGAAATATCAGAGTCTCCAGCTGACTGTATTGAACAAATTCTATTAAGTTCACTTATGCACATATTGTTTAAAAAATCTGAAATCATCACAGAAGGAAATAAGATATTGTCACATACGTGTCCAGGGATTTACTTCAAATAGTCCCTTGTATGCATCAGCCACAAAAAGGGTCCCGTTGGGCCCCACCCGGATGCCCAGGGGTCTTCCACAAGTAGGCTCGTCGTCTCGGGTTTCTAGGGAAACAAATGGACAGGAATCAGTGGCTGGTCTAAGATTCTGTCTGAGCCCACATTAGTATACAAACACCTCATCCCACCATCCCTTCCTAAATGTATGCATAGTTCTATATACCATGCCATGGGATACAGACCCACACCCCAGTATTCTAGCACCTAGAATTTAGGAGAATTGTCCAGCATGTCCAGATGGACCACCTGAGAATCTAGATCTGGACATATACACAACAACTGGTATCCAAGAATCATGTTCACATCAGCATCCCACGATTTGAGCAGTTAACACAGGGATGTCAGAGGACCCAGGCCTTGATTCCAGAATCCCCACTGAACCTCAGGAGCTGGAGGTTCTGAATACTCTGCCCATCTAGTAGCATGATGGTTTTCTCTCCACCTGGCATAAAGGGAGAGTTCTATTTTATTCCTTAGTTTAACTCTCTTGCTCTACTACCTACACTCTTTTAAAACCTTTGGGGCCCTAGCTGGTGTGGCTCAGCTGGTTGAGTGCTGTTGCTTGCACCAAAAAGGTTGCAAGTTGTATTCCTGGTCAGGGCACATGCCTATGTTGCAGATTTGATCCCCAATCCGGGCGTATTTGGGAGGCAGCTGATCAAGGTTTCTCTTTCTCTCAACCTCCTTCCCTCTCTCTCTAAAATCAGTAAAACATATCATCAGGTGATGATTTAAAAAAAAAAAAAAAACTGTAGCAAATGCAGGGTACCCACTGTGGGGTGCTTACAATGGCGTGCTGAGAACAGATGTTCCCTGCAGGAGTGCTTACAACAGGATGCTTACTACAAGGTGCTTACTGCAGAGTGTTCACTGCAGAGGCGGTTACAGCAGAAGGAGGGGTGCTTGCTGCAGGGTGCTTATCAGAGGGCACTTACAGCCAAAATATGGAGTGGAAAAAGGCAGGTTAAAGAACCAAATGTATGAGTCCACCCCATATAGCCATGGGTGGCTGGGAATATCCATGAGCAGAAAGATATCTGAAAAGTGATTAACTAAAATGTTAATAACAACTACACCTGAGAAGACTCTGGGGTGATTTTTACTTTCTTCTTTGTACTTTTGTGATGCTTGCATTTCACAATGAAAATGCATCATTTAAAAAAAATTTTTTTTCAGCTAATAAAAAGTGATAAGAAGAAGAAGTCAGGACTATCAGTGTTTAAAGAATAAGATTTTTCTACTCTAGTTTTCTAAAATTTGAATGATGTTAGGGTATTTTCACTTTGAATGACATTGCTGAAATTCCTAAGGAGCTAATGCAGAAATCACATTTAAGTATCCAAGTAATGACAAAGCTGACTGCATTGCTATGGTAGCACTCCGACAAACCTATTTATTTCCAAGTTACCTTAAAAGTGAGCATGGGCCTCTGCAGAATGGAGAGAGGTGGAGCTAAGAGTAAGCAGCAGGTGCTATGGCCACTGTTTCACTGGGAAACTGCAATGAAGGGTGACAACCAGGCACCATGAGGTCCAAGGGTCACCAGCAATGAAGAGCAGCTGTTAACACCCAGACCAGCCTATCGCCAGATGATCAGGGTTCTTTTTCTCCGAGGGTGAACCTGACTTACACAGGCCATTTGGCACTTTCTGAATGACGGGACAAGACATACATGAGGAGGACTGTGACTGACTTACTGCATGGGCCCGACCCAAACCGGGCGATGGTTTCTATTTCCCCGTTTTCAATTTTTATGATCCGGCCATCTGCGGTACCAGTAAACATTACATCTGTTTAAAAAAATAAAAAGAATAAGAGTGTTACTGGGTCGCCTAAGAACTGTGATCATATTACCTTCTTCTAAAGCATATGTGGCTTATTGGTCATTTTCATCTCCAGAGGAAAAAAAGGCATTTCTGAAGATGAAGGAGAAGTGATATCTAGGAATAAAAAGTCCTTAAAATGTGCAGCAGTAAAATTGTGGGGTTTTGAGGCATCTGCCTGTGGGTTTGAACCTAACACTGAAGCAAGGGTGTAGCAGCCACCAGGCAGTGATAAAATCACGAGAATTTTCTCCTTTCAGAAGAGTACAGGCTCGTGGGTTAGCATTCAGGGGCACATGTTCATGTCTGCCTCACATCAGTGTCTGCTGTTGAGGTGATCAGATCCAACTTAAAGAGAAGAATTGCTAGGAGCTCCCTCAGGATAAGATTAAAGCACAACAGGTGCTCACTTCAGCAGCACATACACTAAAATTAGAAAAATACAGAGATTAGCTCGGCCACACAGAAGGACAACATGCAAATTCAAGAAACATTACATCGTTTTAAATATTTATTATAAACTCTAGGGCAACCACTAAAAAAATTATAACTATCTAATATGCTAAGAAAAAACAGAAAATAGAATGAACCATAAAAACTACAAAAGGTAGAGAGTAGAAGACAAACTTAAGAACAAAAAATAAGGTCAATGAATAGAAAGCAGAAACAAATATGGTAGCTACTAACCAACTGCACCAATCTGTACTTTAAACATCAATGGTCTCAACATGCCAAGTAAAAAACAGAGACTTTTAAGTCAGAGTAGATTTAAAAGAAAAAGTACTTAACTATACCTTGTCTGTAAGAAATTCACTTTAAATATAAAGACACATGTAAGTTAAAAACAGAGGACTGGTGAAAGGTGTATCATGCTAACACTAAACAAACAAAATCTAGAATAACTGTATTAATTTCAGACAGCCAACTTCAGAGCAAGGAAGTAGTAAAGGGGGAAAAATGGCATTATAATTATAAAGGATCAATTCTCCATGAAGATATGTTTAATGTGTATGTATATACATATCTACAAATTGATTATAAAGTTTAAATAGAAAAACAAAAGATCCAGAATAGCCACACTATACTGAAGAACAACAGAAGACTCACCACATGACTTCAAGACAGCCCCTTTGGAAGACAGTTTGGTGATTTCTTACAAAATGAAATATATTCCTACCACAAGATCTAGCAACTAATGATCTTTGGCATTTATCCAGATGTGTTGAAAACATGTCCACACAAACATCTACATGCAAATATTTATAACAGCTTTATTAATAATTGCCAAAACTTGGAAGCAACCAAGATGTCCTTCAATCAGTGAACAGATAAACTGTAATATGTCTAGGAAATGGAATATTATTCAGGAATAAAAAGAGCTATGAAGGCATGAAAAGACATAGGGGAATCTTAAATGCATATGACTATCTGAAAGAGGCCAATCTGAAAAGCTCCATGCTATATGATTTCAACTATATAAAATTCTAGAATATAAAAACTATAAAAGCAGTAAAAAGATCAGTGGCTGCCAGAACAAATTGAGGGGAAGGAGGGATAACTAGGCAGAACACAGAGGATTTCTTAGGACAGTGAAACTACTCTGTATGATACTAAAATAATGAATGCATGTCATTATACATTTGTCCAAAACCACGGAATATTCAACACCAAGAGTGAACCCCAACATAAACTATGAACTTTGGGTGATGATAATGTGTTAACTGTAACAAATATACCATCTGCTTTGAAATGCTAATAATGGGGGAAGCTGCATATGTGGGGGGAAGGGGTATGTGGAATATTTCTGTACTTTCTCTTCATTTTACTGTGAACCTAAAACTGCTCTAAAAAAAATAAAGCCTATTTTTTTTTTATTAAAACACATTAATTGGTGATTGATTACTAAGTACCTCCTGGGACTGATGCCTCCCTCCAATGTCAGCAATATACCAGCCATTCCTCAGGATAACTTCCAAGTGAGGCAGCAGCAGCGAGTTTTATTAAATTGAATATTAAATTGGATGGTCAGAGCAGGGGTTCACACTTGCAAGAAGCTAACTAGATAGGCCCCTCTGTACCTAACCAGAACTGTCACCAAGAAGATAACCAGCTCCTTTATCTGGTGACAGAATACAATGAGATGTTAGCCCAAGTGAAAAGGGGGAAAGCAAGAAAAGCATTCTCTTTGAAAGTCTAAAAAAAAAATCCTCCCAGTTCCAGATTTGGTTTCCAATATTTGATTTTTTTTCTCCCCCCCAAAACCCACAAAACTTGTAAAATGTATTAATAATAAACAATATATTTTTAGAGGAAATATAAAATTCTATCATGAAGTACCTATCACTCTTGAAATAATTTTGTCTTTGTAAGTCAAACAATTGCAAAAATACACCAGTCTTGCCTGGCCAGCATGGCTCAGTGGTTGAGTGTCGACCTATGAATCAGGAGATCATGGTTCGATTCCTGGTCAGGGCCCATGGCCAGATTCAGGCTTGATCCCCAGTGTGGGATGTGCAGAAGACAGCCAATCAATGATTCACATTCATCATTGGTGTTTCTCTCTCTCTCCCTCTCCCTTCCTCTCTGAAATCAATGAAAATATACTCGGGGCGAAGAGGGGGGAATGCACAGTCTTGGGCTCCTGCATCAATCAGCAGGTTTGGAAAAGACAAGCGGTGAATGTCATGTGAGAAGCGGCTCTGACCTGCCTTCAAAACAAGAGGAGCACTCCCAATGCAATGCCCACAAGTACTTCGCAGAAAACATACTGGACTTTGGAATGAGAAGCAGAATGCTTAGTTCAGCTGCTCAGAAATCCTCACACCATTTTAAGTATAGCAACTTTTCCTTTATCTTTTTTAAAATTTTATTTTATTGTTTAAAGTATTACAAATAATAGTACATATGTCTCCTTTTTTCCCCATTGACCTCCTCCCAGCCTCCCCTGACCCCTGGCACATAGCCCCCACACACACACACCCAGTGTCTTGTGTCCATTGGTTGTGCTTATATGCATGCATACAAGTCCTTCGGTTGATCTCTTACCTTCCCCCCTACTCCGCCCTCCCCAGTCTTCCTGCTGTAATTTGACAGTCTATTTGATGCTTCTCTGCCTCTGTATCTATTTTTGTTCATCAGTTTATAATGTTCTTTATATTTCACAAATGAGTGAGATCATGTGGTATTTATCTTTCACTGAATGATTCCAAATCTTAATACAAAGAGAAACCAAGCTAAGAAATAATGTCCTGTCAAGAAATACTTAGCTTTTGACAAATAAACTAAACATCAATGTCTGCATTTTTCATTTTTCCTTCCATTTTAATGGGTCATATACTTTGAGTAGAATAAAGTATTCCATAGACGTGAACTCAAATCACCCAGGACTAAAATGGCCCACAACTTTGAGAGCCAGATGCTCCCACGGGGTGTCTGCTCAACAAGCACATGCACATCCCACATCCACAGCTAACGATGTCGAAAGCTCCTCGAGGGTGGCTACTCCTACAAAGCCCCCATTCAAGCAACAAACAGCCTCCGGGGGTTTACTTACCCCCAATATTTGTTATGGACTCTGGCCCAATAAGTTGATTTTCAAATAGTCTTTCCGCCTGTCGTAACTTCGTATTTGGTTGCAGAACACCATGCAAGAGAGGGGGTTCTTTGAAGCTGCAAAATAGTGCAATTATAGGGATCTGTCTAAGAAAATACATTTAGAACCTATTTACTGAGGACCTATGACATGCATAATTCCATTTGATAGAGAGGGTTCATTCCAATAATATCTGTATTTTCTGGAAACACAAAGGTTAAGAAAAAAACTGTCCTAGGGTATTAGAAAAGATCATAATATTAAATAAAAGTGAAAATATAAATACAGCTAATGCAAGAACTTTTGCAATCTCCTGCCATCTAAGAGCACCCGAAGGCCTCCACTCACCTGAACTTCTCATCACTGGTTCAATGCCTCATAGCAGGTTAGACCTTCTCACACCCTCTGATTCACACAGCGTGGCATTTGTACTCCCAATGGTTGCCCTCCCACTAAAGTCCAATGGAGATGGAGGGAGTCCTGTCGACCTCTCACAATTTATGACATTGCTTCATGGAGAAGACAGAAGAAACAAGAGGAAGCAGTCCAGGAACTGGCTCTGCTTCCCCATCGTCCAATATAAGCCTCCCCTCAGGACTCACCTGACTTCTCTGAAGACAGCCTCCACCGAGCCCTATCTCCCTCCCTTCACTCAGACTGGGCTTCCGGAACTCTGCCCTCTTCCTAGATCCTTCCAACCCACATTCAAATACGCTTTCTCCCAATCCACCAGCAATTCATGCTGATGCACCTCAAAAAGACAGACATCATTGACCCATGTCCATCGCTACCACCTTGGTCCAGGCCACCATCTTCTTTTCCCTGCTTCCTCCCTGTCCCTTACAGTCTATTCTCAACCCTGCAGCCCATCTGAGCACAACAGTCTGATCACAGCATTTATCTGCTTATAGCCCTCTGACAGCCCCATCTCACCCAGAGTCTAAGTCCTTTCTGTGGCTCTAGCTCTACACCATCTCGCCTGTCACCTCTCTCTCCTCCTCTCCCAGTAGTTCACTCTGCCCCTCTACACCAGCCATTCCCTGTTGGTTCTCAACTGTACCAGGCATCTTCCATCCTAAGTCCTTCCACCCTCATCTTCTCAGTGAGGCCTGCTCTGACTATCCAATTTAATATTTAACAGCACCCCCAAAAGCACAGCTCCCCTCATTCTAACCCTTTTCAGCTTCTCACTTCTGTTGTTTATCCCCACCCGAGCACATGAGACCAGGGATTTGTCCTGTGTTTTTTGCTGCTGTACCCCAAGCACCTGGCACACAGGAGGCTGCCAATGAGCACTACAGGAGTGAGAGGGTGGGGAGCGTGGGAAGGGGTGGTTATCTCCTAATTCCCTCCCCACCCGGCCTCCACCAAGGCAGATTCTTAGCCAGGCAACCAGAGTGGGAGAACCAAGGAGGAGGTGGTAGCTGAGGATGTGGAATGATGTACTTCACCTCTGCCACCCCTTCTGAGGCACCTCTGCAGGCCACAACACAACTTCCCCCCAAATAAATTGCTCTGCTTCCCCCAATATGACCTTCAACCTGCTTAAAAAAACATTCTTAACTTTACTAGTTTTAGTTCCAAAGGAAGAGTAGGATTGCAACCTGCATACTCGGTGAAAAAAAGCCTGGCTATAGAGTTGGGCTTTCAAATTCTGACCTTGTAAAGGTCATACTTCCCAATGGTATATGTGAAGATTGAATAATGCTGATACATCCATAAAATCCAGGGATAGAGAAGGGTACACCTGACATCAGCCCTCTCACCCAGTCCTTGGACCTTGCCTAATTTCCTATACACAGGAAGTCCTCCGGAAATATTTGCAGAATCAAACTCATCAGTAAATCACACACTGTCCCTACCCACAATGAGCCTGAGAATTATCTCAATAAGGAGACAAGAAGAACACTCATCTAAGGAAATGCAAAGGATGGGCAAAAGAGGGTCCCATCAGACAGCAGAAGTGCCAAGAAAGAGTGGCCCCAGGAAGCCCAAATCAACACTCACAGCCAGCCAGACTATGTGGACTCTGATTAAGGCCACTGACCTTCTGTTAACTCATTAAACTCCTGTTAAACTCACATTAATCCCCACTAATTCCTGCTAACTCCATGTGCCAAATGAATGCTGAAAGATACTGGTCAACATCCTCTAGAAATCAGAATGTCACATTGTTGTGTTTGTAATAGGCCTCCGATCTTCCAAAAAGAAAATTGAGGGTGCTGCCAAAGCCCTGCAGCCTTCCAGGCAACTTGACTCTAGAACTGAAACTACCTGCCTAATAGCCTGCCCTGGAAGGGTTCCACCCTTCCTTGCCCCTGGTCTGACTGTCCTTGGATTTCTCAGAGATTTCTAGCTATTGTCTAAGCTCACACAGAGGTCATTGAAAGTGATACCATTGGAATTAACCTAGTTATTATCACAGGAAAGGAGGAGAAACAAGGATGGTGGCATAGGTAAATACCTCAACTGCTGCTTCCCACAACCATTTCAAAACTACAACTAAAAGACAAAACAGACATCATCCAGGACCACAGAAAAGCTGGCTAAGTGGAAATTCTACAACTAGAAGGAAAGATAAAAGTACACTGAGACTCACAGAAGCTGAAGAAGGCAGAGGTACCGAGGCACATGCGTGGAGAGGGCTGGCAACAGAGTACACAGCTGTCTTTTTCAAGCGAGAGGGAAACAAAAGTTCCAGACTGCTCTGAACTCCAGTTCCAGGCAAGACTCTGGGGACCCATATTGGGAGAAACTGGACTGTCTGGCAGTGTGCGAAACTTGAGGGTGGCTTTCTCTCAGAGGTGCTTGTAGTGATTACCGCAGGACACTGAGACCCAGGGGCCTCGTAGGGCAGGGCTGACGGAAAACCATTGGTGGTTGCTCCACCCTGAGACTACGCCCCATCCAAGCTGAGCACAAAGGCTTTTGCATATGAATGCATTGGTCCATTGAATTCTAAACTTACCTAACAGACTGCAGCTGAGTCAGTGAGATCCATAACACCCAAAAGGAGGTCCAAAGGCCTGCAGCAGCTGCATTGCTTCACAGCTGGGCCTCATCTGGGCACCTCCAAAACCCAAACAAAGAGAGGAATCTGCAGATATCTCCGCAGCTCCTGCTGGGTGGCCTCAGGCAGAGGCTAAATTAGCACCTCCTTGGAAATCCAAGAGCAGTGTACCAAGGAGTCAGAATGGGACCATCCAGATTACAACTCTTCAGATCCATAAAGGACATCCTCAGTGAACACCAAAGCCCCACTGAAGCAAGTCTTGTCTCATAAGGGAGTCTCCAGCACAGAAGTTCTCCCACCTAGACATAGCTGATTCTCACAACCAATAGGCCTGGAGGTCAATTCCTCCCAGTAATAGCAACAACAATCAAGGCTTAACTTGATTGTTGTTGCTATTACTGGGAGGAATTGTGCACACAGCCCACAAAGGGGTGCACCAAGAGTGTCCACCTCGGGTAACTGGGGAGGCTGAGCCACTGGGCCCTATAGAACACCTAGCACACAAAGCCACTCTATCAACTCAGGGAAGCAGCCAAAATGCAGAGACAAAAAATCAGGTCACAAATGAAAGAAATGAAGGAAAGCAAAACACTGGATTATAGAGTTCAAAACCACCGTTATAATGTTTTTCAAGAATTTTCTTAAAAAGACCGATAAACTTAGTGAGACTCTTGAGAATATAAAAAAAGGACCAACTAGAAATTAAGCATACACTGACTGAAATAAAAAATACCATATAGAGATCTAACAGCAGACTAGAGAATCGCAAGAATCAAGTCAAAGATTTGAAATACAAAGAAGCAAAAAACACCCAACCAGAAAAGCAGAAAGCAAAAAGAATCCAAAAATATGAATATAGTGTAAGAAGCCTCTGGGACAACTTCAAGCATACCAACATCAGAATTATGGGGGTGCAAGATACTGAAAACCTATTTGAAGAAATAATGACTGAAAATTTCCCCCACCTGGTGGAAGAAATAGACTTACAAGTCCAGGACCACACCAAGACACATCATAATTAAAATGTCAAGAGCAAAAGACAAAGAATATTAAAAGCAGCAAGAGAAAAACAGTTAGTTACCTACAATGGAGCATCCATATGATTGTCAGCTGATTTCTCAATAGAAACTATGCAGGCCAGAAGGGAGTGACAAGAAATATTTAAAGTGATGAACAGCAAGAACCTACAACCAAGATCACTCTACCCAGAAAAGCTATCATTCAGAATTGAATGTCAGATAAAGAGCTTCACAGATAAGAAGAAGCTAAAGGAGTTCATCACTGCCAAACCAGTATTATATGAAATGCTGAAAGGATTTTTTAAAAAGAGGAAGAAGAAGGTAAAGACAAAAATTATGAACAACAAATACATATCTATCAACAAGTGAATCCAAAAATCAAATGAATAAAAATCTGATGAACAGAATAAACTGGTGAATATAATAGAATGAGGGGCAGAGAAAGGGAGTGGACTGACAATTCTGGGGGGCGGGGGGAGGCATGGAAGAAGGAAGGGTGTGGGGGATGCAGGAAGAGACTGGAGAAAAATTGTACACCTATGGCCGAAACCGGTTTGGCTCAGTGGATAGAGCATCGGACTGCAGACTGAAAGGTCCCGGGTTTGATCCCGGTCAAGGGCACGTACCTTGGTTGCGGGCACATCTCCAGTTGGGGATGTGCAGGAGGCAGCTGGTCGATGTTTCTTTCTCATCGATGTTTCTAACTATCCCTCTCAATTCCTCTCTGTGTAAAATCAATAAATACATATTTTAAAAAATTAAACACCTATGGATGAGGACAGTGGGGAGTGGGGAGGGTAAGGGCAGAGGGTGGGGTGGGATCCGGGTGGAGGGGAACTATGGAGGGGAAAAAAGAGGAACAATTGTAATAATCTGAACAATAAAGATTTATTTAAAAAATAAACATTTCTTAAATGATGATGAAAAATAACAGGAAAGGAGCAAAGGGGAAAACCAGCCCTTAAAAGCATGTTATTTGGACAGCTTCGCCAGGAAGCTACAACTTAACACTCCTCCAAGGGTTTGGCCAAGGAAGTTAGACCGGTGCCCAATAAAGTTGGGGTGATACAGGGAAGTTGCTTGCTGTCAATCACATCTGGAGACACATCTGGTAGGCCAGTGTGGGCGTGACCGTTGCAAGGGATCAAAGATTTGGGATATTTAATCCCCTGAACCAAGAAATTTGCTCTTTTGTGCTTTCAGGACCCTTGGAAGTTTGGTTGCTTGGAGTGCACTTTCCTGCATTCACCCATGTACCATGGACTAATGGACTGCAGCCAGCCAAAAGTTCTATTGGACCCAGCTGCAACATGGAATGGGAACTCTGGACACTGGCTTTGTTTCTAGGTTTACTGAAACCCCAGCGACACATCTGCTATGACTGGACTAAGGGAAATGGAACTTTGGAAACACAGGAATTTAACTCTACACAAATAAAAATCACTTGTTCTCCTTTGAGAGTATCAGAAAATTCTTTTTCTTGTGGTATCATAAGGACTCCACCTCCAGCAGCACCCAGTGGGAAGAGGACCCCCCACTTCATCTGATAACAGAAGTAGACTCCCCAAAGCACTGCTATTGCTGGCCTCCCACCCTGCCAGTTGGGCTGATCCCACTGACCATGGCGCCCCCTTGGTTGGGAGATGACTGTCCTCACTCACTCAGTGGGTCTCTCCCTTCCTTGCTCCTTTTGCTCTGAAGAGATTTTTAAAAAGGCTTTTTTGCTGTTGTCATCAGCATTTTCCCCAAACCTCGGTTTATTTCTGTTCTTACAATCCCTGCCACTCTTCTGCTTTTGTTCCACCCTTTGGGGCCCATGCTTCCAATTTGTGAGTAAGTCATTCCCGAATCTGAGTCTGTGGGAGAGATCCTGTCCACCACAGCAATTTCATTAGCTTCTCCTCCCTTCCTCATCAGGCCCAGCTGCTCCACAGGCAGGACTCACTTAAACAACATCAGATCCTTCATGGGCCATGTTTCCTTTCAGTTGCTGGGCATGAATACATACCAGTCCTCTGAAGTTCTTCACCACTCTTTCCACACCTAACTTCACTTTTATGGAGATTAAAGGTCTTCAGTCACTTAAGCTCCATCCCTCCCACTCCAACTCGGAAACTCCATCTTTACCTGTTCTCTCCACTTTCCTCCTCTTTCCCAAGACTAGCTCCCCAGCCCAGACTTTGATCCCCACTGTGGACACAGTTCATTTTCTCACCTTGCCAACCAAATAAAGTCAGGTCAGTTTCTATTTGGGGTGGGCTGAGCCATATCCTTCCACATGTTGAGAGAGGTTAGCAAGAAAGAGGCCCCTCCACTCAAAGTGTCCCAGAACCCCCTTAGAGAGAGCACCCTGGGGAGGAAGGCATGTGCAAGGAAACACTGGAACACCAGGAATTATGGAGAAACATACTTATGGGTCTACAGTGTCCAGCCTCCCCCATTCTCAATCTTATGCAAACTACGTGTGTTTTAACAACACCATGTACCTTTACCAATTCTAAATCCAATAACAAAAAGTTGACTCTTCTACACATATGTCAATGTAAGTTCTTTGTATCTGATACCCGCCTCTAGCATACTAGTGCTGAATATGTTTTTAGTGAACTGAATTCAATATAAAACCCTAAATTTTATTTACAAAATACCAACACATTATACAGTTATATATGTTATATTTACTTTATAGTAAGATGTGGTTCTTTCTGAAGTTTTTAAAATCTTACATTACCTAGCTCAGTTAAAATAAACCTCAGAAAGCTCAACCCTCTGGGCAGTTGCAAGGGAAAAAAGAAACTTATTGAACCAGACTGCACAACCCTCTTAAACCACCGTGGACATCATCATCATCAATCACATCAACAGGAGCCTGGCTCAGTATTACTATAATTAAAAATGTGAATACATTTCATGGGACTCCCCAGGTGTATACTATTTTTTCAAGTTATAATGGACTGCATTATTCACAGATCCCCAAAGATGCAAGGGAACTTAGGAAAAAGAGGTGACTAATTACAAGTTGTTTTTTTAAAATAAGTTATTTATAAAACTTAAACAAGGTAACTTAAATTTAACCTTTGTTTGTGTGTGTGCCTTTGCCCCTTTATATGAATTCAGACTGTGTCTAATACTTAAGCTTCTCTTATTTAGGGTTTTCCTGATTTTTGTTTTTGGTTTGTAAAGTTTTATTTTTGAAACAATAACATGGGCAAAACCATGCAAATATCCTGTGAAACATCTAATTCTACATAAAATGGAGGCAAAAAAAAAAAAATCACAAATTTCTATTTCTCATAATAACTTACCTTTCGGATCAAACTGGTTTAGTTACTCTAGAAATCATCCCAGCCTATATATTTTGCTGAGCAATCTCTCCCAAAAATTGCTGGGGCAGCTCACCTGAGAGGCTGTGGGTCTATGGGGGAATCCAGCAGCATCATGGCTCCCAGCAGGGGAACAGTGAAGGAAACAGCCAGCATCAGAAAGGTCACTCGGAAAACTCTGCCGCTAAAGGAGCTGCCAGAAACGAAATACATACAAAGGCATCAGCAGAGGCGCAGACAGTGACCAGCTCGGCTGGTTTTAAAGTCCTTTCAGCAAGGGCGAGCCTCTCACCCAGTGTCCCCACCACAAGGCCCTTGACTTCTATGGCATGTGATGAAACTTCAGTACTGTTTACCAGGACTGGCAAACATGCTTCTGCTGTTTCTTTTTCCCCCAAAATGTGTGAGGCACTCTTATCAGTTATTTTCCAGATAGTAAGATAGGCTGTTTTAAAGAAGGAAAACAGCGCAGCATTGATGAACACAAATAGTACTGGGAATAAAGAGTTGTAATAAAGGGAGACACAGAGAAGACAAGTGTTTCCCAAAAGCCACTATTTCCTGGTGCATGGATTCAAAGCAGCAACACTCAGTATGGTGGGAAGGGGAAATGGGGAGTGATTACTTAATAGGTATAAGGTGTTCTTATGGGGTGATGAAATAGTTTTGAAACTAGAGAACTAGTGATTGTCCAACACTAAACATCACTGAACTATACACTCTGAAGGTAATTTTATATAAATTTCACCTCAATTTTTTGAAAGGTTAACAGTGATGACAATGTTCTAAACTTAGATTGTAAGGCTTATTGCAAAACTCTGTGACTGTACTAAAAACCATTAAACAATTTAAACGGGTAGATTTTTATGATATGTGAATTATATCTCAAAAAGGTTTAAAAAAAAAAAAAAAAAAAAAAAAACAGCCCAGCCAGTGTGGCTCAGTGGTTGAGCATCAACCCATGAACCAAGAGGTCCCTGGTTCGATTCCTGGTCAGGTTGTGGGCTTGACCAATGGTTCTCTCTCATCATTGATGGCTCTATCTATTTCTCTCCTCTTCCTTCCTCTCTGAAATCAATAAAAAATGTGTATTTTTCTTTTTAAAGTCAATGACTCAACTATGCAAACTGCCACTACAGAAGCTGGGACAATCTGTAACTCAAGTGATTTTTTTTTTTTTTGTCCTCACCCAAGGATATTTATTTATTTGAGATATAGAGAGGAAGGGAAGGAGAAAGGGAGGAAAGAAAGAGAAGGGAGGGAGGGAGGGAGGGAGGGAGGGAGGGAGGGAGGGAGGGAGGGAGGTTGGTTAATATGAGAGGAAAACAGTGATCGGTTGACTCCTGTACACATCTTGACCAGGGATCAAACTTGCAATATGAGTATGTGTCCCAAGCAGGAATCGAATCTACCACCTTTTAGTGTATGGGAAATGCTCCAATCAACTGAGTCACCCAGCCAGGATTCAAGTGGTTTTCTTTAAGTGGCCTAAAGTCTTTCAACACAATGGAAGTAACTACTTATAAGTAAAAATGACAGCAAAGACTTTGTGTGGTTCTTTTAAAAGCAGAATCCCAGCCTGGCCGATGGTTGAGCATCGATCTAGGAACCAGGAAGTCACAGTTTAATTCTCGATCAAGGCCAGGTTGCAGGCTGGATCCACAGTATGGGAGCAGGGCGGAGGGGGAGGGGGGGGGGGGGCCTGCGCAGAAGGCAGCTGAGCTGATTCTCTCTCATTGTTAATGTTTTCTATCTCTCTCTCCCTTCTTCTCTGAAAGAAATCAATAAAAATACTTTTTTCTTTAAAAAAAAAAAGCAGACGCCCTAAAGAGAGACAAATGGTAAAGATAGGTGCCTGTCAGAGGTGAGTGCTGACCACATGGCATTCTAGTAGGGTCCCTGTCCATAAAGGAGGCTGATGTAATCACCTTTTCCCATCCTAGCAGAGGAACAATCGCTTGGGGGAAGCTGCATTGTGCAATGTCACCATAGAGCTATATTATCTTTTCCTTGCCTAAAATGATTCTTTTTAAAAAATATATATATTTTATTGATTTTTTTATAGAGAGGAAGAGAGAGGGATAAAGAGTTAGAAACATTGATGAGAGAGAATCATCGATCAGCTGCCTCTTGCACCACTCCCTACTGGGGATGTGCCCGCAACCAAAGTACATGCCCTTGACCGGAATCGAACCCAGGACCTTTCAGTCCACTGACCGAAGCTCTATCCACTGAGCCAAACCGGTTTCGGCATGCCTAAAATGATTCTACATAAAACAGAATCCTGTTATTTGTCTTAGACTCCTGCAGTTAACTTCCTTTACCACACTGTAGTTTCCATCTTTTTAATCTAAATTTAGTGGTAATCTGATTCAAAGCTTGTGACACCCTGCTTAAATATTTGGTTGCTCCTTCATACAATGGTAAAATGCTCACTATTTCAAAAAAAAAAAGAAAAAAGAAAGAAAGAGGAAGAAAGAAAAGTCAAGCCAGGACTGAAAGCAACAGTACTTATAATTAGACAGGCTACCAGAGGTCTGGGATGATGACCTGTGTCCCACATGGCCCATCCCTGCCAGAGATCTAGGTAATACCCTCTTAATGGTGCAATTAACTGGTCACCACCAACTGTATCTAACTCTCTCCCCAGTGAGAGAAGTCTATCAACACCCCACTGGCTAACATCAGCTAGCCTCTCTTGAAAAGTTCTGGAAGATGGCTGCAGAGTAGCTGGAAGCTTCATCTGCCTTGCTCCCAACACCAAACCAGACTTGTAGCTAAATTGCAGAGTGTTCATCCAGAAAAACACAGGTGACATGTAGCTGATCTGAAACACTGAGAGAAGGGAACTCAGAGGAAAGATAGAAGGAGACGGGGAGAGGGTGAGCCAACTTGCACAGGTACACAACTGGGAAGCAAAAGGGAAATTGCAGCAGCGCAGCCCCATCCCCTGGAAGTGTGGGGTCTCAGCCCCACACAAGTATCCCCAATCCAGAGTGACAAGGGAAGGGCGGGGGAGCCTGTGTAGTGTTGAAAGTGGAAATCACTGGGGATTCAGCACACCTAGGAGACCCAGACCGCACAACACCAGGCAAAGGGTGATTTCTTTATTACACCAGCCTGAAAAGTTCACTCCAATCGAAGACTACTAGAGCCGAGCAGCAGAGCTTGCGGCGGGCAGAGGGGTCTGATTGGTACACCCAAAAGTGACATGAGGGGCCCTCTATTCTCCGGAAGAATTCTGGGCAGAGAACCAGCCAGGGGTTGGTCTCTGTGGCTTAGGAAAGGATTGGTCTCGCCCACTGAGAAAACATGGTGACACTCCCCCCACCATGTGCAGAGCTCTTCGGTCTGCCCCATCCTGTGATCCAAGGCAAAGGGGAGCAGTGCTGGGCTGGGAATCTGAGCCCGTACTGTTCAGTATGACAGTGCACAGGTCTTGGATATTTGGCCCAGTTGGAGCCTGGCTAGAGGCTCTGCCCAGCACCAGGCTGGCCATGCAAGAGAAAGGAGTGCCAAGCAGAGCTGATTTTTTTTTACCCCCTATACTTGGTGTGGCAGCAAGGGGTGCCAGGGAGCCAGAGCTGAGGTGTTGAGACTGTCTTTCAGATGGGCTTCTATCTGGAGATAGACAGATGTGTGAAGCTATGGCTGCATAGTGGGGAAGCAGGCCCAGGAGTTCAGCCAGCTCAGCCCTGGAAAGGAGAAGCACCCACAACCCTGACTATAGGTTAAGGTTATTATTTCCAATCCAAGTCTGATTAAACTGCCTCCACAGAGTGCAGTTCTGTGGGAGAAGGGAGAGCAACTCAGAGCGGGGACATTCAAGGGGCAAGACCCCAGGTAGACCCAGCCCTTGGGGTCCAGAGGCCCCACCTGCCAGAAGGCTTGGGGCAGATTGGGGCTTCGGACAGGTTACCAAAGGCAGGCAGGGACAGCAACTGACAATTGCTTGCTCCCGAGAACCTCTTAGGAGGCCCTAGCCTGGCATAACAAGTGCCCAGCCTGCACCCTCTCCAATCTGGGACATCCCTCTCACAATCCAGGACTGATGGCTCCCAACTACTCACCTGCCTGCCTGCCTGCCTGCCTGCCTGCCTGGCAAAACTAAAAATTAAAGTGTTTCACTGAAAAATATGGTTTCCAGCTTCTCTTGAAAAAGCGACAGATCTGGCCCAACCCAAAGTTGCAGGGCGGCCGCACAGGCTTTCCAATCTTCAGGCAAGCACACACTCTGCTCTCCCCAGCCTCACACTTGCTGCAGACAGCACCACATCCGGTTGGTACAAGAACCATTGTGACTGATGCTGAGACCAAGGCTTGGAACACAAAAAGCTCTCAGAAGATGGTAACTACCAGGACTGCAGCTCCCTGGAGGCATCTGAGCCCCTGACTGGTGCAGAGTTCCTTGCAGTGGTTTTAGTACCCATGCTCTAGGCCACATGTGTCAAACACAAGGCCCGCGGGCCAAATCCGTCCCGCCAGGCCTTGCAATGTGGCCCGCACCGCACTGTCATCACTGCACTCCGCTGCGTTTCCATCACAATGACAGTTTATGACTGTTCAGTAAACCATTCGGCCCGCGATTTAGGCTGAATTTTAGATTTTGGCCCCTTCTCTGATTGAGTTCGACACCCCTACTCTAGGCACATATTTTATCCCCAGGTTCATTAACTTTTTGACAGATCCATCTCACTGGTTCCTGCAAACTCACAGTCAACTACAGTTCTGCCTTTCCTCCAGGTGTGCCCCTCGCTTCTGCACTCCTTCATTAAGGTAACTTAAATAAAGGACACCCCACTTACCCCTATCCATTTCTAAGGATGAAACCCATCATACTCCCCTTCCCTGTGTGTGCTGACACATTCAGGAGAGCAGACAATTTCCTTCCCAGGTACAGTCTGGGAAATCAACTTGTTTGCCCCAATCTCTTGAGCCTGAAATTTCCTACAGTCTTCAAGTGCCAGAAAGCTATTACTGTAATGCAATTACTGTTGGCTCAACCACAATTTACACAACCCTGTACTTTAACCAGCCAAATATGAAAGGCGTTCTCTAAGCCCTTTTGCACACAGGACATCAGAGCCTCGAGTCATGGATTGAAGTCCTGACCCACTGACCCTGTGAAAATAAAAGCAACCCGTGATTTTTGTGGGAAGCCTGTGAGCCCCAAATCTATATGGGACCAGAACC